AACTCATCTCGAGAAATCCTGAAAATCACCAAAAAGTTCCGAAAATTTAAACACGAATAATTTCGTAACCACGAAAAATACCGCAAAATCATGATTGATATAGCACGAAGAAAACCAAAAAGTCCTGGAAGCATAAAAAATAAACAAAGTAGCGAAGGAAGCTTCAAATCTCGAAAAGTAAAGCACGAAGATTTCCGAAAACCCGAAAAAAAAATCTAGCGAAAATCTTGAAACGTTTTAAAATTCCCCGGAAAGCGCGAAGCATTTTATAAAATTACCAATAACTCAGAAATAAAAATCAAAAATTACCGATTATTCTTTTTACTCCTGAACTGTTTAGTATTTAGAAATCGTACTAAATAGTTTAGTACTACGCTGCTATGAAGCCTTTTTGACGAACTTCTCCGCCAGACGTGACTGCAATAGAAGTCAGGCATTCCCAATTTGAGTTTGATGTTTCACGCAAAGGATCTCTCCCCCAACGCTTCTTTCAAGCTTAGACATATTCCGCCTTCCGTATAGAAGTTCACCGGTGTCTTCTTCAAACTACTACCTGCCGTATCCGCATTCCGGCGGGGAATATGCGTGAAGAAAATGCTCACTGGTGCTTGCCTAATACCGCAGTGATCCGTATTATCAGAGATAAAGTCGCTGTCTACTAGAATACTGTTAAGCACTTAGCACTCAACAGACCTTTTCTGTAGGGCTGGATTTCTCCAACTCAACTTAACAAAGTTTAGCCATTTTTTGGACTTATTCATATTCACCATCTAGGCTAAGCCAAAAATTTGCCTACGTTTTAATCAGCTTAGTCTTGACTGAGTCCGAAAATTGGCTAAACTAAGTGAGGAGGATCTTTAATGCCCCACTAATTCCAATTAACAAGTGGATACGAGGTCTCAATAAAATATTATAGGCTTAACCAAGGTTTAATAGTGCCAGAAATTCACCTTAGGCGAGAGGCCCCATCCCCCACCAAATGGCTCACTGTCGCAGGAATGAGCCACTGATTCCTTCATCACTCTCGCCACAGTAATAGATTTCGCAGACAGCTTGGCATACTTCATTTTTTCAAAAAGTGTCAGCTGAACGTCAACAATTTCTTAGGATTTAGTCGCTCTAACTAACTTAGTCACTGAGTTGCAGTGCCTTTGAATCAGATCATAAAGGATATACAGAACTTGATCCCTCACCAAAAGGCAACGTTATCCACTTAGGCAATCAACCGGCAGTCTCTACAGCTCCTATAGCAGGTCGTTTAAGACCACAAAACAAAGAGAAGGTGAGAGAACACCATATAGTGTGGTATATATGTTTACTCTGCAATGCTCCATAGATCTCCCCGACATCCGCTTCCTCTACTAATTAACTCTTAATGTAGACATGCTGAATTCCGGGCAGGCAATCGCTAGTATTACTATTTCCGCAGGTCTTTTAGATGGTTTTCCATTTTCGTTCTTTTGACGTTTGGGCGTTGGCTGATTGTTTACCGAACGTATCTTCTCCCATTCGGACACCATTGAGGATCCCGAAAACCCACAACTTATACTGAACAAAGCCAACAAATTTTGTTGGAAGCTATGTATTAAATAGGGAATATTTTACGATTCGTTTAGGAACGGTGTTTTTCATGAAGGGAGGGAATCTAACCCAGTAAACATTGGGCGTAGTTAGCAATTCGAAAACGATTGGAAAACTAACATTTTTTCGAGTCTCACTTTCGATAACGAATGTGCAATAGGTTAGTAACGGGTGATTTTTTT